GCACAATACGCGAGGGTACTGTAGCGTATAGATAACGAATTCTGCGCATAGATTGCATATGACATCGGTATGGCGTTCGCATGCATTTCGAAGGGCAAGCGTATTCCGGACGCACTCAACGTATGCCCACCGGATGCCTAACGCACTTCCGACGAATGCCAAGCGTCTTGTGTGCGTATTCCCTGCTGCTTCCTGCTGTTTCATTCGCAATGGGTCCTTCTCATCATGGGCCGCCCTCAACTCAGATAAAATGTGTTTGTTTCCATTTCGCCCCAGCCCTGGTCAATTTCCTGTAATATATTGTCAGGTAAATTAAATACACGTACCCGGACTTTATACGAACATAACAGTTAGACTGTTAATAGCCTTGATTAATTGGAGATGTCAAGAAATACCCTTCCTTAATAATTTAAAAATAATGAAAACACGCATACTTGCAAATACCGACAATTTACAATTGCGCTTACACACAGATAGCATTGACACTACACATCACTGCGAACACTACAATCTTTATATATCTACCGCCACCACATTACAAGCACATTTCAAAGCGACTACTGTTATAAGTCCATCATCTTTAGATGTTTCATGACATTGGGTTAATTTCGCCCATAGCTTTTATGCTCCTGCATTTTTATAAACTATTTTGTACCAATCTACGTACACTACACATTTTCTCGGACAAAGAAAAACAGGCAACTGGCGTATCATCCCAAAGTACAGGCAACAAAAAGCAAATATTTTATGTTAAATATAGATATATTGATAATATGCAAAATAGCCAGTCCTAACATCATTTTTGGGAAGGCGGTACAAGGGTGTTCTTTTGTGTTACAAGTACGTGTCAAAATGCATTTTTGTGAAACATTGCACTTTAGGAAAGACGTTTTGCCAATGATCATCTAATTTTCAGCAAAACATATTAGAAACAGCCAATCTCCAGAAGGTCTGTTAACCATGGGGTCTAGAGGAGCCGGTACCCCGGGTGTAGCCCAGGTGTTTGGCAAGTTCGCTATCTAGATCTGTACGCAACCTTTGCGCTTCTCATTAGTTACAAATACGTACAATGCGCTGTCCTGTTGCAATACCAACGGTATTAAAAGCGCTGTAAGTACGCAATGCATTTGTCTATTGTACGCAGCTCATGCACAGGTGCAGTTCCAGGTGCAGATCAGCGTATGGGCCGCGTTTCCCCTACGAACACATAGTGTACTCATAATGCTCTTGACCGATGCATTGCGTATTAAAAACGCATGACCTGCGTAACAGCGTACGCAGCGTATGTTTGGGCATGCTCAAAACTACGCTGCGTACTGAGCCTGGCGGAGCGTGTGCTGTGCGTATGCAGGCGTTCACTAAACTTACACAAAGCGACTGAGATGCATATGAAGTGCGCAGTTTGCGTACGGTTGCGTATGAAAAAAATTGCCCGTACGCAACTCATACGGAAGACGATTCGCAGAAGTGTGACAGGGCCCTCAAAACTACGATGCGTACCGGGCCGGTTTGTGCGTATGCTGACGTTTACAAAACGTACATAAACGACTAAAATGCATATGAAGTGCGCATTTTGCGTGCAGTTGCGTATGAAAGAATCGGCCGTACGCGATCCATACGCAAGACGATTCGCAGAAGTGTGACAGGGCCGTTAGGCATGCTCAAAACTACGCTGCGTAACGGGCAGGTCTGTGCGTATGCTGTGCGTATGCTGACGTTTACAAAGCGTACATAAACGACTGAGATGCATATGAAGTGCGCATTTTGCGAACAGTTGCGTATGAAAGAATTGACCGTACGCGACTCATACGCAAGACGATACGCAGAATGTGAAGAGGGGCTTAAGCAAATTTTTACAACTTTGATACAAAGACAGTGTAAACAATAGAGTTATTTTTTCTGATTTGTAACATGCTGCTTTTTTTTTTGTAAACATATTAAATTTTCTTGCACAACAGGCGCATGCTCTGGTAGGTGTTACTGCGACATCAATGATAACATATGGCGTGTGGATTCTGGGTACCTGACCCACAAGAATGACCTGCCGGTCACCCAGCTCAGGTTTGGGGATACTGGGAGTGGTCACGAACAAGGCTACCACACCCTGGGGAAACTTATCTGCTATCCCTGAGCCTGAGAAAGTATCTATGTTTGAGGCACAAACCAGCTCAGACGTGTTCACTTAAACAAAAACAGTCGTTTGCAGTGATGATATGAATCTATCCATTACATTAAGCTCCTGATGTATTCTAACAAGCATTTCTGAGTTTTGCAAATATTAGTTAGTTATAATAGAATGTGAAGCTGATGTTACTAGTTTGTCTGAGGTTGCCATGCCAATGTTTATGTTTTGTAGTATTTTTGGAAGTTTTATATTGTTATTGTTGTTTACACGTTGGAATATGCTTGGATTTTCTTACTTTATTTACTGTATTTCCATAGAACTCACGTTAAGTTGCTTATCTTACCATTTTAAGTTCCAAAAAATCCTACATCATGTATCAAGTGTTACCATACCTTAAAAAAATATATGCATAGAAGTAAATGCTATAACCATGTCACTAGAGGGCTGAAATCCCTATATCTGTGACATGTATACTACACATATTTTAAAAAATCATGCCTTTAGTACAAAGTCATAACCACAGTCTTGTAACGTAATGTTTAGTTGGTGATATAGATTGTGTATTTGTTTAGCTACGCTTCAATGTGTTTGACTCACTGAGAGTGTGATTTAAATTTTCAATTTTCTGTGTGGTAATAAAATTACTGTCTAACTATTTAAACAACATGATGTGTTTTAATCCTTTATTGGTTTTTTTTTTGGGACACTCAGACCACAATTAGATTTCCTTCGATAATTCCTTTCGTCTTCCGGCGTTCCGGGTGGTAATGTGCTAGCGACACATTGCATCCCTGCAGATTCGGTTGTTTTGCCATAGGCCCTGCAAGACTATTCATATGTTATTGAAGCTTTTTCTCATTACTTATCCAATCATATCTATAAGTGTGCCAGGTTTGAAATTCCTAAAATAAAACATAGTTTTTAGAATTTTCTCATTACTTGTGAAAATAATTTGCTACGTGTCGAGCAACTATGACTGCATTGCTAAGTCTTCCACGTAATTATCAGCAGGAATGACCAGGCATGTAACGTGTCCTTCAAAACGTTTTCATTGAATTCTTTTCAACTTGTGTTGCATCAGTCACCTGCAAGGTGACGAGAAAATATTCAAAACATCTTTGCGTATGTTTAACTGATGTAAGTCGCACCTCGTTCTCTTAGTGAATACAGCACGTACGAAAGATTCCAATCATAGCGGTGCTTGTAGAAAGAATCAGCATGTCTTTCCTCCCGCCATGCAAGATGGCGAATTGAATGTTACAAAGCAACAACGAGGGGTGCCGAGTGCCGTGCTATCGAGGAATTCGGTCGGAAGATGTTAGATATCTAAACTAGTTCCTGCGTAGAATTAATTGTGCCTAAAGTCCTCGTTTAAGACCGTCTTGGAAAAATTCTATCCAGGATTTCTTAGAGTTACAGTCTTTTTTAGAGGTAATATCCCACGGCGCTAGCCTCAGGTCATGCCGGCACATGGCAGCCATATTCCGATTATTCATTACCGTCGTACCAAAATAAATCAAAAGTACATCAGACGCATGTGATATGTAGGCACATTCCCAGTAACAAATTAAAAAAACAACAGTTTTTCCATGTACGTAGTTTGTGGAAATAGATTAATTTAGAAAAAAATATAGGCTGCAAAATTTGAAAAATACCCATTTAGGCCTAAAGAGTTGCCTCTCTCGAATAATATCGTTCCGCTGCCTGCTGCAGAATGTCGGAGACAACTACAGATTCCTAAAGAACGAATAAACCATGCAGTTCATGATTCCAAACAATTAAATTTCTTGCGACGTTTAAAAAGATTACAAGATATTAAAACCTCGCAGTTATGCTGAGGTCCATTTCCAAACCTGGGCCCAGCCAGGCTGTTTCAATTGACAAAAACTCAATAATTTAAACCAATGGCATTTCCAATTATTATTTTTTTCTTTACTTTTTTTTTCCTTCTTGTCTTTTATATTATACTTTTCGTTCCTTAAGATGGCCCAGCCGGGCCCCGGTTTGGAAATGTGACCCCAGCATAAGGACTCGTACAGAGGTGGCCCACGCCAGTGTTGGCGTCTAACACGCCTTCTCGTCAGTACAAACACAGCTTACAAAAAATCCCTCACAGCGCCGTACATGAGGTTAAACGTTTGCCTTTGTCTCCCCCCCGCCCACACACACAAATTAGTCTGTCATGTTTAGAAGAAAATACCGAAAGAACACAAGACGGCGCCAAAACTGTACATATTTATAAATGTTCGTTCGTCAGACTTGAGTATGATACTGCGATTTTGACTATTTAGAAACCTTTTGCTGCTTTAGACTGTGCAGTCGTCAGACTTTCGTGCAATGAAGATGTACGAGCAAGCAGAGCCTGTCAGGACTCCGCAACCGGGGTCCGGCAGGGAGCAAAATAACAAGCCGCGGGCGTCCCCCGCCCGTCGAGGTAACGCTAGCGGGCATGTCGGCCCTGGCAAACAGGCATGTCACAGGTATCAGGAAGATGACGACTCGTCTCCAAACGTGTACGAAGAAGCTGAGGCGGTGAAACTAGAGAATATTTCAGGAGACGCGCCTCACAGAACTGACACGTCTACAGGTAGAGTGCGCTTCTCAAGACGGTTTTCTTCTTGTTAGATGCTTATATAGAATAAGGATGAGTTAGAAAAAAAAAGAAAAACAAAAGAGTAATAATTATATTTTGATATTCAAGACATTCGTGAAGTGGAGATGCTATATCTGACTCCTTATTGATTGTTTAAAAGATGTCAGTTTAATTTGTTTACATTTTAGTAGTTTGCCAATGCAACAAAATTTACTAGAAGGCTGTCAACAGAATCTGAGTGTGGAGTTCTGTAACAACACATGTCAGAAATGTAAGATAACTTTACAAGTGCATTGAAAACTGAAAGTAAACAACAGGCTCATGAAGTAAACAAAATAGTTCAATTTCTGGTGTAAAATGTTGCATACAGCCGCTTTAATGACGTGTTGTCTTTATCTGCGTTGTTATTTTTTTTAATTAGACGCGGACACCACACAGCCGGATGGTGTACGTGTAAAAGGCCGTCGTGTCTGCTACATCGCCGCCGCCCTGGCTGTTGTTGGAACTCTGGTCATTGTGGGGATCATTCTATCTGTTTTCATTAACGACACCAACAATAAACAAGAGGTATTGTGAAGATTTTGTTTTAACTAACCAAAAATGTTATGTCGTGTAATTCTTTGTCCTTTTTCAGTTTTGTATGATTTCTGTCCCCTGGCCAGGTGTGTGAATTCCTGGTAAGCTATAGGTAGCAATGACTTAAAAATCTAATCTGTAACATGCGTGAGAGTATATAGTGGTTAGCATTATGACACTTGTGCCACCAGAGCATGAATTGTGTGAAAAGTAGAAAACAACTTGTATGATAGTAGAGCTGCTGACTCCATACATGTAGAAGTGGGTGATAATTGTTGCCATTTTATTCTTACCAACATCCTGTCTAGATACCTGTACACACGGGCGATCATATCCAGGGTATGGTTATGGGGGCACCGATACAATAATTAAAAATAACTAACTCAATCCCTTATTATTCTTTATTTATTTATTTAGTTATTTATTTACCATTTGCACATATATTTAAAAAATTAGACAATCAAATAATAACAATCAAATAATATGCAGGGTAGGCCAGAAACCGAGATGGTTTTTTTAAGGGCCTACCGCAAACAAAGGTAACGTATGACAAAACATATTTGAATTAATCATCAAAATAAAACAATTATTAATTAAGGAAATCACGGGACTCGAGGTAAATATGCGTGCGATGCACTATTTGGACGCCGAGAGTACAATTTAGGATTTAGTTCATTTGTATTTTAGGCTTTATCTTTAAAAAGTCCAAAAAAATTTAGGATTAAATGATTTATGATAACGGATAGCTGAAATATGCATGTCATCATGTTACGGTGACAAGTAGTACTAATATTCTATCATATTTATTACACGTTTTTGTTTACCATTGCTTTAAAATAAGTAAACCCAACTAGACGGTTTGGGCCAATAAGATAACGATAATGACGTCATAATGAGGTCACATTACGCCATAACGACATTAAAATTGAGCTTTGATTAATGTTCTCTTGCACACTATCCTCTAAAATTTTGTTGTCATACGGTATACCGTTCACGAGTTCTGAGGGGAGGGGCGAATATGATTATATGAAAAAAATATCTTTTTTTTTCACTTATTATTAACAAATTAATAATTTTTCTTATAAGTTTACTTTTTTAAAATTCTCCAGTGTCATTGGCCAAAGTTAGTCGATGCTACGTCTGACCGTTTCCGAAATCTTATCTCGGTGTTTGAGTAACTGTTTTTGGCGTATGTTACTACCTCAATGTTTGATCTTCACCAAGGCATGTTGCAGACTAATTTTGGTGGCTAAAGGTCAAACCGAAACAAAACATCAAAACGAAATTTTTTCAAACGCCTGGAAGAAGCAAAAGTTTAATATTTTTTTATTGGGCTTTGCGACAGGGCAACATTTGTTGTGGACGGTACCATTCTAACCGGTATCGCTGTAGGGGTGACGCCACAGTTAGGACCTGCGCACTGGCTGCCTGATGGTAGGCTGGGTACCATCCTACTTGTATGCCGGGGCTCCCACACTCGCTTCCCTAACAAGTAGTCTGGGAACGGTTAGATTTATTTGGTTTGGTGATGATGTCACATAATGAGGTAGGCCACATGGGGAGGGCTGGGCGGAGCCTCTTCCACTAGTAGATGACCCATCAGTACAAAGTCCACGTGGCCATGTGCTGTTTTGGTAAGAGCAAAAAAGTTGCTGCATATTTATGACAAGTACAGCCACTAATTTACCTCAAGTACAACCATTTCTTGTAGTTTTCTTTATTGCAAGATGTTTTTTGTGGCTGTGTTACTTCAAAGTTCAAATGTTAGCAAAATCATGACAACAGTGTCAGGGGCTACTCCACTCCGTCCAAGATAAACAACCCCTTCCTCGGTCAG